TTCTATTCTATTCTATTCTATTCTATTCTATTCTATTCTATTCTATTCTATTCTATTCTATTCTATTCTACTCTATAAAAGGGGTATAAAAATATAAGTTAATTTTACAATGTATGTATAAAAATATATTAGCAAAATCTCTTATATTCAACAACAAAAAATATTTAGTGACTAATTAGTTAAGCAAATTGTACAAAATAGCAATTATAAAATAAAAATGATATCCGATTTATAGTCCCCACACTGCAGATATATTAGAATCTGCCCTTAAATTACAGCCAAACCCATTTACACAGGAACAGTTAAAAACCTATGTATCAAACATTAAAAACATAATCTAACATTACCCGCCATATATCTGACTCAAAAAAACCATTAAAACAACTAATTTCATTAATTTCAGACCAAACTTTTCATATACTTGTGTTATATTAAACTGAACTTCCAATATTCCACACTTTTTGGCACCAAGTACCTTTTTCCTCTGATAACGGAGCAGGCGGCTTGCTTGGTCTTGCAATGCATCCTCGGATAACCAAGGATAGAGATTATACACTGGACCTGTCCTTCCATTCATGAATCAACTGTATCAAGTTTTAAACTAAGCAATTGAATCAAGTTGACCCAGCTTCATATTTTAAATCTATAAATTAAAAACTAAAATAAATTAATGTTAATTACTTGTTACAAATTGAATCAAATGATTAAAGTTGGAGCTGCCTTTTCTTTTTAGAATGTGCAGGTTCACACATCGCAGCAAACCTGTGGGAAGTTTAATGAGGCTTTTTAAATTCCATCCTTTTGTTATAAAAATTCATTACTTGATTTATTAAAATAATTTCTTACAAATCGACTAACACTAGTGAAAGATTATATACGACATGCAACAAGTGTTTTCTATTCATGTGACATACAGTACACGATCTTTAAAATCCCATTGGTTAGATAGAAATGTTTGCCTCAGAGCTTATTTATGCATCTGCAATTACATAGGCTATATTTTAAACAATCAATTACATACAACAGACAGGCTGCAGTAATTTTTACATACAGCTATGTATAAAGTACAGTGTATAGTTATAGTCTTAAGCACAGCTATTTCAACAACAATTTGCAGCATGTTTACCATAGATATTGGTCTTCAAGTATTTCTTTTTTTCTTTTTAAGATACAACTTTGACTTTTTAGAATTCCAAAGCTGAATTGAAAACACTGATTCACAAAATCTTGAATAAATTAGTAGTGGCCTTAGTGCAAATCTAACATAGAAAAACACAACGCTTGACATTTATATGTTAATTACCATAGATGGCATGGAGACCTAAAGCCGACTTTAAATCTGAAGTTTAATTTTCATTTTCTATAATGTAAGTGCAGAGACACAGACGACAGAGGCTCCAGAACGAGAAGAAAGATTTTGTAATAAAAAAGTAGGGGAGATAAGAGCCTTTCTTATATATTTTTTTGCTTGCCAGAAACTGATTGGTGAAAATGTTTTTCTAAAACTAATCACATTTGCGGGCGCTGATTGGCAGGAAATTAACTTCAAAAATGCATCTCAAAGATCCAGACAAACCTATGTTTGAATTCAACCACCCACCTTTTCCTTTGAATAAATTAAACTTCCACGCTTGCAGCATTTTATTTATTCATAGTTTTTGCTTTTCTCTCTGACTTTGTAGTTTTGGATAGTCATAGTTAATTTGAACTTGTTCCCACAAAAGCCTTTTATTTTTGTTTCAATAGCTGTCTGCGTTCCAATTCAGATATTCAGGTTGAAAGGTCAACACCTTCTTTGTCAGAACCTCTACAGGCACATGTGCTCAGCATCAGCAAAAAAAGAAGAAAAATTTCAGCAATAAGTGACTTTACCTTGATCCTCTTGTATGATTTAAATGAAATGTTAGAGATTGAGATGTGAGAGAAATGTGCTCAGTCACCTGCTGCCATGGTCACAGTCATTACCCCTCACAGACTAAGGGAAAGCTAAAGAGAGCAGAGTCCTTGAGCTAAACTGAGGTCTATTACCAGCCTATAACAACAGTTCACCCTTATGTGGGCCATGTTGCACATACACTGTCATTAAGTAGCTTTGTTTCTATGAGGAATCACCACCTTGCAAAACCTTATTTTTAAACCTTACACGTAATGCTAATTCTTAACAGTAAAAAAAACAGTTGGACTGTGTTTTAGCTTTAACCCTAGGAAATTCCTGCAAATGAATCCTCGCTTTTGTTAGAATATGAAACTGTTCTCATCTCTTCACCATGAGGGGAGGCGATAACATAAGGGATCTAATTCAGTGTGAACGTTTTTGATTTAGGTTTTCAAACACATTGAGAGCTCAAAGCCATTTTCTGGAAGTAAATCTCCAGACCTGGTGGTTTTTATAACTATATTTATATTCTCTACCGAAACATCTTTTATTAGGATATGGCTTTGTTTTTTTGGTTAATAAGGTTACAGAAGTTTCAATCTGAAAAACTCACTCAAAGAGACGATTAGGAGAAATTTATTGATACAATAACTTTGTCTTTGGCGCTCAGACCTCGGCAGGAAACACAGCACTTAATTATGATTGATATGCATGAACAGGAGCAAAGAATAGGTCTGTTTTCCCCCCAGGCCTTAAACTGGTGGTGGAGTGGAGATAGATGAAGTTGGTCAGTTTGTAGACTGCTGGTTAGTGAAACAGTATGCTGAGCTTTATGGGGAGATCCAGTGGAATGCGTGAGCTGATTCTAGAGCTTCACTTAGGGACCTGGAAGATGGAAGTCCAGTTGGATAACACAGGTTGAGAGAACCTGTGCATTATGAGCAAGCAGGAGGGGAAAGTGGAGAGGAAAAACTCCCCGTTGGGAAGAAACCTCTGGCGGAACCAGGCTCAACATGGCGGTCTTCTGCCGGATGAGACAGGGAACGCAATAAGAGTCCGGGAGGAATGAACTCTGATGAAGCTTTAGCTACGATGGTGGAGGAGGGGCTGGAGGTGGGTTGAAACTGTGTCATCTGAATGAAGTCACAAAGCGCATCCGCCGCCTGCCTCCAGGGGCAGACAAGTGCGGATTGGAGGCCTTTTAAGATGAGCTTTGGATGCCGATTGGCTTTTGTGGAGGTGTGGTTCAAAGCTGATTGGCTGTGTCGCAGGTGGATATAATAGAGCAACTAGTTTTTTTCAGTTTAACTTTCGCCTAGGCTCCATTTCAAAAAGCTTAGGGTTACGTCTTCTAATTTGTCAAATGATATGTTTCACCTTTTTTTTTTTGTCTTACTATTATGTTTGTTTATTCTGACCCACTGACAGCAAAGTTTACAGTTGCACTGAAGTATATGGTTAAAAACCTCCTGGAGTATTTGATGTAAACATTGAGACTGTTATGAATGATTCAAATGTGTCTTTTGAGCTTTTTGTGTGAAATCTGTCCTGGATTTAACTCTAAACAAGCAAAAAGCAGAAAATAAAAACATGTTTGTTCAATATGGTTGCTTGAGTACTAAACTAAAATAAATGATTTCCTGATGTTCATTTTCAGGTAATCTTCCCTCTTCAAGCAGACACTAAACTTACCTACTGAAAATAAAAATAAAAATCTATGGTTTATCACTAATTTCACTTGATGTAAAAGCTAAATATTGCATACCACATTCCATTTACATGTTTTAATTTTTTACAATTTGACGTCTCCTCTACGGAGACTCTTTCTTTGTTTTCTAAATATGTTTCTAATTTATGTCTGTGTACAGTATTACATGTGTATTTTGAGCCTGTTTGCTCGATAAGATGATAATGGTGATAATGACAATAAAGACTCTTGATTCCTGATTGATATTTTCTTTGAAGATAAAAGGCTTCTCTAACCACAAAAGAAAAGAGATGTGGAAAATGCAGGGGATTGTTGACACATGAAAACATCAAAACAAACAACCATTACCAAGCAGAAATCCCTGGAGCTCCTTCAGTGTTTCTGCCAACCTTTGGGCAGATTCCTCTGATCTGCTTCCAGATTAAATCGGGTGAATGTCCAGTTCTTGATCATGTTACTGTTGACCCATATGTTCTTATCATTGACTGATACCTTTGAAAGCATTTTGGTCTTTTGTAACTGATCTGGAAAAATGGATTCAGCTAAAGGATGCAGATCAATCAATGTCGTACTTAGATAAGCATATTTTTTTCTTTGTTTATTATAATTTATGGCTGCTTGATGATTAAGAATTTAAACCCAGAGAAAAACTGCTGTTCTTCCAACAGATGTATTTTATTATGTCAAAATGAAACTGATATTGCAATTCTGATATTTCTTCTTCTTTGTCGATTTATGAATATAGAAAGTTTTATTTGGCAAAACTTTAATTTTTCCCACAAAGATTTAGGGAAGAAAAGTTTTAAACGTCTTCCTTTACTGTTTTTGACTCGTTTTTGCAATCAGACTTTTCCTCTGTAACACATTTGGATTAAGAGTTCATTTCAGGAATCTGTGAGCTTTAGACAGGTCAGTTAACAGATCCTGCATGTGAATAACTCCTTTTGAAGTTGAAATCTTATAAAATTGGGCAGGACATACAGACAAAAATCTATTTAACAGAAAACATTTTTTTAGGTTTAGAAAAAATTCATAAAAAACAGCTACATAAAATGAGAGAAAGCTTTTAATTTTTACATTTGAAGCCTGCAATTATAAGGAGGTATAGAGAACTCAGCTTTAATTACATAAACATGTTATTCTATGCCTCTAAAGACAAATGTAAAATGGTTTAAGACTCTGGTGAGTTGAAGAAAGAAAGCATCAAATGTCTCTTAAAATGTGAAAGGGTTTTCAGTTGAGAAAGCAGGACTGATTCAGATTTATTTTGTTTTGATATGCCAGGTGTTCATATGAAAAGAATATTTATCTGTTCACCTGCTTGTGTTCCTCACAGCTACACACGGCGCGTAGTTGGGAATGGAGTCAGGGCCCAGAGTACCAACCCTGAAGTCAAAGTGAAAGGAGAAGACCCTGTGATAAACCAGATCATTGACAAACTGAAACACATCAATCAGGTAAGATTATTTCATCCTTCATGGATGTTATAGAGAGCTGCATGGTTTGCTCTCATTTCCTTGAAATCCATATTTTCACGGTTCAGTTAGTCAAAGATGAGGTAACTATGTCCTCTGGAAATCTGCTAATTCCCTTTGCTGCTCTGTTAGTCTTTCAGAAATGCAGATGCCTCTTGTTTATAAGACTAAAGCCTTTCACTCTTAACCTTAAATTCTCATCTAAAATCATTTATTTGTACCCTCTGTCATATTTCCAGTAAGTAACAGCATAGTGAAAAAGAATCTGAAATGCAGAATCATTCCTAAGGTGATGAATGAAAAAGAAAATCAATCATTACACATTTAGAGCCCCATTTGGTCTGGTTTGTGTGCCTCCATATTTACAAAATTCTTTTTTCTGCTCTATGTCAAAATCAATGTGGCATTTTCTACCTGCCAGTCTGCCTTTATGTGCGTTTGTGCTGCCATAACACCTCTCAGTGCTGTTTATCTCTCCAGATGATGAGATTAGAGCAGTTTACGGGAGCACTTTTCTTTCCTCCTGCCTCAATAACAGCTGCTCTGGCTACATTCAGGCTGTCGAGCTGCAGCGGCAGTTTCAGATGTCTGCCGCTTTGGTTTCCCAAGTGGCGGACTGAAGGCCAGGTCATCTCTCTTGACCTCCTACTGGCACCTCCTCCTTCACTAATTCTCACCATCTGTGGGGTGTCAGAACACATAAATCTATATCATAACCATCTGAGAGGCTCTGTTGTGACTGGTTGACATTCACTCTGTGCCTTTTTGCTGTTTGCATTTTAAATGTGTTTCCTCATGTGTCCTTTGGCCCTGTGAATATTTAGTTGCAGCAGGAAAGATTGTTTTTTAATCTTAAATACTCAGGGATGGCTTGACTGATTTGGAAATGGTTTATGTGATTTACTTTAAATACCATGGAACAGATTATGATTATGAGCTCTACCCAGATTATATAATCACCTACAATCTGCTGAGGCCAAGTATTTCGGCCGGTGCCATTTCAAACCCAATGTTGTTCTTTATGCTCCAATGCTTCTGGTTTGGCTCTTCTTATTGCATAAGATTCTGTTTCCCATATCTTTATAAATATGTCTGTTATTATCTTCTAGATTTTTTCCACTGCTTTCTATTACATTTAAATGATATAATTTAAGCAAGAATGATAGAATTGTTTAAAAATCAACAGGACGGCATCGTTACATGTAAAAGAACATTTAAGTACAGCTTTCTCCACAGATATTGGTTTGCCTGCTGAAGATTAACTAAAGAAAGATTTAAAAGCGACTCAGTCATTTTTGCTGTAGCAAAATCTAAGATAAAAAAGAGAAATCTAACTTTTAAATTGAATATTTATTTGTTGAAGGAAGACATCTCTATATGTAGCAGAAAAAAATTAATAATTTCTCATTTTTAAGTTGATCACAGGGATTTTTATGTAACACCACAAATGTGGTGTGACTTAGAAGCTCCTTGGTCATTTTGTAATTTGAAGGGTAGGAGAACGTGCCATCCTACACTGCAAAATCAATCTAGAAATAAGTAAAAATGTTTTAAATTAGTATATTTACCCTTAATTTGAATAGGTAAATAAGATGATTTGCTAATGGCAATGTTTATTTTAGGAGTATTTTACTCCTAAAATAAGATAATTAGATAATATACACTTGAAATAAGACACAGCAATTATTTTGTCTTATTTTAAACGAAAATTGTCTTGTTCCATTGGCAAAGTGTTAATTTAAGCAAAATAATTTTTGTTTTGATTTCCATTTTTTGCAGTGTAAAAAGGTAAATGTGCTTTGCTTCTCATGAGTCTTGGAATTTATAAAGGAAAATAACCGAAGGTATGAGGTTTTTTTTCTTTTCTCTATCAAAACATGAAATAAAATGTGAAGGAAAAAAACTAGAATTTGGACAAACAGAGTTGGACTAAGACCTTTACCACCCACCTACTTACACACCCACAAAAGAGAGAGAATTAAGAGGTGGAACAATCATCCAACGCTTACTTTTGGAGACCTACAGCAATTTAATGTGTAAATAATAAATAAGTGAACACAAGTACATAAACAAAAAATGGATATTTGAAAGAGAATAACAAAAATTGCAAATGTATTTTCATTATCTATTTTTTTCTTTCACTCAACTTATTAAGTAGGTAGGTGAGAATTTGGGACATTTACTTGTTAAAAAAGATATAATTAAAATGGGTTCCACTAATATTAGACCACTTAGTTTGTAGAAATATGCTTGTATACAGTATAGAATAGTTCTTTGGGGTTAAATATACCTAACAGATCTCATTTAAGCAGATCTCCATTCTGACAAGATCATCACTTCTTTTTTTTAATACTTGGCCCATTTACAGAAAGATTGAGACTTTAAACGGAGAATAACGTGAGCTGCCGTTTTTAGAAGTCGTTAAACCAATAATGACCAAGAATAACAGAATGTCATGGCAGTGATGGAGCACTGTAATTTGACAGACTTAATGTCATTCGCCTTTTTTATGAATACACATGGATGCACACGGTTGAGCTATAATTGGGAAGCAGTGAGCCAAAACCAGAGACAAACGGCCTGTTGACCAGTCTTAAAATGGGATTTGATGCGCTTAATTTAACTTGGTGTTTTGGCCAGAGAGCTTGCAGAGGTCAGGATTTCTAAACCTCATGCAGTAAGCTGTTTGGAAAGGGTTGGAAAACCAAAAGGCTTTTTGGGGGATTTTGCTGCATATTAATGTGTTTTTTATGATACTATTTTTGCATGAACAGTGATTCATGAGTGGGATGTATGTCGTTAAGGTGCTATTGGACCAGCCTACATAATGTGATGTTTAGGACAAATTAGAATGGATGAGTAGATTACTTGATTACTTAGATTGTCCGACAACGTTTTTGTGCCAATTTTGGGAAAAAAAGGATTGATTTAAGTGTTTTATGATTTGATATTGGGCTATTCACACCGATTAATCAAATTTTTTTTTAAACCCAGCCCCTAATGTAATGCTTTTTTTTTAAAACCTCTTTCAAAGTCAACTATTGGCACACAAATTATAATCTATATCCTTTAATAATACAGACTATTAATTTGTTATTAAAGGTAGTTGTTTTCCAACCTAGAAGAAAATATACTTCTCTGTGTCTGGGTGTTGTCCTTTTCATTAGGTTGCCATATCCCTCCACTTCTGAAGGCTGAACATAGTCCGAGAAGTCTCCATGTCAGATGGCTCAGACTTTGCCTCAGTATTCATTTGGATAACTCAGATATTTCAAGCAGAATAACACTGTTTCTATGATTTTGATAAATGAATGACATTACTAATTGACTTTATATCATAGGTAAAAGTTTTAAAAGTTGATTATGCGTAAGATAGGTCCTTTAAAGAATATTTTATGTGGTAATCTCTCTTTTTTTTAATTTCTGTATCATACAAGAATAACATTTAATGTCTGAATATCCAGATATGTTAGAAAAACATAAAAACCTAAAACTAACTAACCTAAAACTAATGGGTTCTGCAGGCTGAACCCTGCTTCCCAGTCTTTTGCTCCCCGTCTCCCATGTTTCCTCTAACCTGCACAAACACACTACCACACAAATAGGATCTCGGAGAAGAGATCGTGAGCAGGGCTGGTCCTCCCCTGCTGGTTGTGTCCTATGCCCCGATTTGAATGAACACCCTAGCCAGCATCATTTAAAACATTTCCAAGACATGTGTAGGGCATCGGGGGTGGGCATGTTTGGGGCACTGGAAGTGGGTCAGCCTTTCTGGCTTGAACACCAAGGTAGAAATACCTTGGTGTTCACTTGGACAACAAACTAGACTGGAGACACAACTGTGAAGCCGTCTACTAGAAGGGACAGAGCGGATTTTACTACCTTAGGAAGCTTAGGTCCTGATTTCTTCTTCATACCTCTGCTGGGGTAACAGTATTAGCGATGGTGTTTAAAAAAAAAAAAAAACTCAACAAGCTATTTAAGAAAGGCCAGCTCTGTGCTAGGAACTCCTCTAGAACCTGTTGAGTTACTGAAAGACATTTAACTTCCCTTTGGGATTAATAAAGCAGAGTGGTGGGAAGATCCTGATTATGGAAAAAATAGAGAGAAATGTGAGGAAATTATAAATAGTGGTAATCAGATATTTCAATAAATCATAAGGAAATAACTCATCATTTAACAGTTGTTTAGCTTTACTTGTCAAACAAATCTCAGGTAATCTGGACCACCTGGTTTTCTAATACGTTTGCTCAGCAGATTTCTCGTCTGCTGCAGAGATGACTTGATCTTCTTAATTAATCACATTGAAGCCACGTCACTAATAAAAACCCCCCCACTATGTATAGTGTGAGGGCACTGCATTTGCACTGGGTATATTTGCTTTTAATGGGTGTTTTTAAAGTATTTCACGGCTGAAAAAATAGGTACAAATGAAACCACTGCGCTATTTTCTTTTTCAGAATATCTAGACAATTTTGTATTTATCTTTGGTTACTTAGACATGTTTGTAGTCTTACTCCAACTATAAATAACCCTAAGTTGGTCTCCAGTTACTCCTTTTGTTGTTGTTTTTTTCCATCTGAGGTTCCGTGTTGTGATTACGTACCAGCACAGCATGCTTTGTAGTCTAAATGCCACAAATTAACATCCCTTCTTCTACTTAGAAACCCGTAACAAAGGTGTTACAAGTACCGTATATCAGCTCCAGTGAGAAATACAAATATCTCCCTGGAATAGCAATACATAGTGGTAATTAGTCCCAGGAAATATTATAAGTGCAAATGTAAAATGTCAAACTGTTTTTGTTAATTAGAAGAAACATAAAAACCATGTTGTGTGTTCTGTTGTACTCATTAAATGGTACAATTGTGGTGTTTAAAGTACTTTAGATTCTATGAGAGACTGCCAATCAACCCATTGCCATTATTGTAAATAATATTTTTATATTCAGCTAAATCTTTAGTGTCATAGTAGTTATAAAT